TATAATCTATATTAACAGTGGTTCTATTTGGTAATCTTTGTGTAGAATATTTCGATCTAATATTTGGTTTTATTGATACTTTTTTACTTGTTTTTACATCCACTTCGTTGGGTTTAGTGCTAGACAGTAATAGTACATTAGTTTTCTTATCAATAAAACTTGATAATTAACTCCCATTTGAACAATGATATGTTACTAAAGACCCATCTGTGCGCTTTCCTTTTCCTTTCAATTAATTTGGTACTTCCTTCCGTTTTGAATCCAAAGTTCCTATTATATTTATGTCAAGGCTTGCCTAATATTCATATAATATTTGTGAAGTAAAATAACGATCTGTAAATAAAGTATATTCACTTCCCAAAAAGACTCCATCAATTTAATTACAACGCGTTCGCACGAACGGTGGACAACTTCTCCGTTGTTACTTCCTCTGTATAGAGAGGTATTAAGAACAGCATTTGTTTCGGAATCGACCAACATAAATATTTTAAATCCACTTTTAGAGGACTTGGATGGCATTGTAACTTTGTTTTGGTAATGGACAAAATATCTGAATAAGTCTTCATCAACACACAACACAGAAGATGGTTTAATTTGTTCAATTATTTCTTTAAAAACGTTATTAAATGTTTCTATTATAAATGATATTTTATAATAATTATCCCAATCATATTTATGTACATAAATTGGACTCGTTAAACTTAAATACTTGTCATTATTGGTTAAGATGTTTTTATTTGTTGATGTTGTTTTATTAAGTTGAGTTTCGTACGAATCACCAAATTCATCCCTAGATAAATACTGATCATTTTCAGATGAATCAGTTGAATCAGTTGAAGATGAATGAAAGCTTGAAGTTGTATCAGAAAATCTTTCGATGTCAATTTCACTTTCTCAAAATTCGCCGAACTATAATGGCTATTAACTCACCTTGGCATAAAGTAACTCACTTTAACTATTCAAAATTAAATATTCGTCGTTTTACTATAAAAAAACTATACTCATCAAAAAAACTATGTTTAGTATATTCATAGTTTAACAACTATATAAAGTATGTAAAATTATTATAAAAATAAACCCTAATTAACTATATTTATATACTCGAAAAAAGAAAATACAATAAATGGTAAAGAAAAAATTTATTTGGTACAAATATTATCCAAAACAACAATATTAACAATTTGACAAAATTTACATTTTTAATTTTAAATTTAATTGTTTTGAGTTGTTGTACATTTACAGTATAAACTATTGGACAACGAATTTGATATATTTAATGTATATATTTGTTTAAATTTTAATCCAAAATTCTATTATGCCTAAATAAATACATATTATTAATTTGGTGGAATCATTTTCGTTGTTAGTATGAAATTACACGTTTTAAAATTTTTATGTTTTATTCAAATTGAATGATATTACTAAATAAAAGAG